CACCAAAGTCATTCAAATTCATGTCCCGTGCAAACAAAGGGACACGCAGGCGGGACCTTTTGAAGCGGAAACATCAGAAAGGGGAACCGCAGGAGGATAGAGGAGAGTGGGGTGTAGAGGGAGGGTGGTGGCGGTATTTATAGGCAACAAGTGATGGGATGCCCTGGTTAGTGCACGGACCACTGAGCCAGATGACAGATGCGCCGCCAAGAGGTCATGTGACTGCATTACTCACTCTGGCACCCAGTGAGAGGCCACTCACTGCAGGGAGAGTGGGAGAGAACCGGGCAACTTGAACCCTGAGGGACTATTTCCCCATTTCAATTAACAGTAGGTAAACAAACAATTTGATTCACTTGTCATTTAAAGACATTAGTCAGTGAACTCAATTTGCCTCATTCGGTCACTACTTTATAACAGAAGAACAGGTCCTCTACATAGACACACTTTAAACCGGTCGTGGGACTATATGGAACTTAAAGTAGGTGGAAGGCAAGTTGTGTATACTGGTATGAAATTATGTATACACAGTACCTTGAAAAAGCATTTAGTCAGGTTATAACCGCAAACATAGACAAAAAGCTAAAAGATATATTAATTATTATTTTAATTTATTTTCTAACTGAAAAGTGGAGCTTGCAAGAGGTTTCAGTCCTCTTTTCTCCGAGTGCAATCAATAGTTTTTTAGAAGTTGCCTGATGACTGATGAATGGTCATTTACTTAAGTAGAGTTCACCTTAACGTAACCTAATCTTAGTGTAATTACAGCTGTTGTGTGATGGCCTCAGAGAGAATCAATCTAAGATGTATTCGAGAGGTCACGAATGACGTTTTGAAGAAGTTTAAAGCATTAGTTCAAGAGAGATGAGCGCCAGCCTACAATGAGTCAATTTTTGTCAGGTGCTCATCAGGATCAGCAGTGGAAAGAACGCTGGAAACATTGGAGAAAGGAGGAAATCCGAGGCACTCTTAACAGTAAATAAAAATCCTTTAATAAAGCGATTTGCAGAACACAAATGTGCCATCAGATCACAAAATCTGAATTTTCCATTGGCAAAACATTTCCAGTCACAGATGCCAAATCAACAATCTCAAAAGGCTGACCATGAAAGTCATTCTAAGCACTATCAGAGGTGGAGACAAACCTATTACAAAGGGTAACATACTGGATAGAAATTCTAAAAGCAGTGATACATCCAGTTTTCGATGAGGAGATTGGATTTTCTGTATTTTTATAACTGTACTTCTTGGAGTGCAACAAAAGTTTTTATTTATTTTTAATCTTTTAATTTCTGGGGCTCCAGTTCAAAGCACAGCATGTTATTTGTTTTGTTACAGTTACAAGTGTAGTTCTGTTCATGTTTATGTGAAGCCCATATTTGTGTGTCCGGTTGATTATCCCCACATAGATGCCTTTAGAAATTATGCATTAACCTGCCTTTATAGAATTTTTGTATTACTCTATGAATAATGTTGTTTCTTATGTTGTGTAGATCCGGTGACAGGTACGGATCACATTTAAACCACACCTGGTACCCTGCAGTCTTTCACATGCTCTGAAGAAAGCCCTACATGGCCAAAACTCGCTGCTTGACCGTGTTTATTAAAGGATTTTTATTAGTTGTTAAGAGTGCCTCGAATTTCATCCAAGTTTAAAGCATTGTGAGGTATTACAAAGATTTTCCAAGATATCCTCCAAAACCAAATATCTACCTATGCACAACCATCCGCCCAAACTAACTGGCCAAACTGCAGACAATCTGTACAATCAATTGTGCACTACACAAAGACGCAAGAAACAAAGTGTCCCCCACTTTGTTTCTTCAGAGTCAACATGTGGAAGAAGGTGCTCTGAATGAGCTCTGGTCTAAAACCAACACTACTCATCACGACTCGATTCACAACATCCTCACTATCAAAACTTGTGATGGCGGCATCCTGCTGTGGGGCTTCTTTCCTTCAGCAGGGACAAGGATGATAATCAGAGTAGATCGGGAGGTGGATCAAGCAGAATAGAGTGATTTTGTAAGTCTGCATAGGACGGAATGTTTTCCTACCATCAGGAAGGTTTCCTTGAACATAAAGACTTTTCATTCAATGGAAACAATATTCATGTGCTCAGATGCCCCAGTCTAAAAACTGCTGTCCACAAATGCTCTCCATCTAGCACTTGAGCTGTTTTGCAAAAAAAATTGAAAGATTATACTATTGAAACAATAAATACAAGAATACAGCATGTCTGAGAATGTAAAATAAACATAAGAAATTGTGTGTGGGCAGATGACTATGATTGCTTTCTCTTTCTTTCAACTTCAAACAATGCATATAGGTAATCTGATGCCTCAAACAAGACTAGTGTCTATTCTCAAATCAATGTATTATGTTACTCTATTGAAATGGCCATGCATAGTGCTATAGTAGGGACGTCTTCCAGATCCCAATCCATTGTTTAGGATCCCAGTGAAGACCACACATACAGAGCAATCTGCCAAAGTCATGCTCCACTTCAGATTATAAAAGCCACTTGAGGTGATTAAACTCATTGGGTTTCCTCTGGGCTCAGGCCTCTCTGGTTGTGTGCAGACACAAGGTTGGAGTTGGATTAACCACCTTACCATCCTGTGTCTTCTCATGTCCAAAAAGAGCACAGCTTCCCACATTATGGCATGACGATCTCTGTTCTGAATTACTACTTTGATTTGCCACAGGCAAGTCTTAGCTAGACTTAGTCATGTCCTTATTGTACCCCTTCAAACATAGTTTTTTTTTTCAGTTTTAAATAGAAGACAAATCCATAGGGATCATGAAGGTAATAAAAAGAAATTTTGAAGGAGCTATTGAGGGAACCCAAATTATTTCTGTCACTTTAGAATGAAAACTATGCCTGGTTATCCCCAATCCCAGCTCACCTCAACAACCCCCCTTCCTTGCAGAATCACTGCTGTGGGAGCTCTATTGTGAACGCTGTTTTTGCATGGCTTGGACCTTGGCTCTGTTACGGACAGTTCACTGACCCACTCACCCGCCTTTTAGAGCAGTTCTGGGGTCACAAGTTCAAAACATGGGGGACTCAACTGTGCCCACCAGGCGGCTTCCTCTTTCAAAGTCCTGAAGTCTGAACCTTCTACTCCTCAAGACACTATTTGTTTCCCTCATATCCCGTTTCTTCTCCTACCCCCTTTGCAAAAGCCCTACTCTCCATGCATCCTGAGCGACTGACCCGCTGTCTTAGCCCCTAATTAGCATAGCATCCCAGAGCGAAGAGAACATGAAGGCTAATGGGGATTGGGGCCCCGTAACAGCACCAAAGCTAAAGCTTCAAGTTTCGAACCAGGGCCATCACCTGACCACATTTACATGGACTTCTACAAGCAGAACACTGCCCCGGAGCCTAATGCATGTTAAAGTATTCTAACTTTACCTTAGATAACCAGAAAGGTTCATGGGAGGTTTTTATGTGTGCCAGCAAGCATTCTAAAAATACGTTCTACATTTCAGCCAGATGTACTTTTGTTTTGTTACAGAATACAAATGTATGTTGATGAATAATAATAAAAAAATAAAAATAATAATAATATGATTGTATAAACAATAATAATTTTGGGCACTGAAAGACTATATTAAGACTGAAAGGCAATATTATTTCACTCCAGACACAGTGGTGGTAAGAAACTGGGGCTGAAGTGAGGCAACCAGTATCGCTGCCGCTTTGACCATCACCATTCATTTATGCACTCACCAGACTCATTCTAGGCAATGTGGATTAAGTGTCGTGCCTAAGGACACAACAACAGATTGGTACTTTACAGCCGCAGCTGCCCCACGGTGATACATGGTGTTCCCAGAGGTCTCCCATAACTGTACTAACCAGCTGCCCTGCTTTACTTCATATATTTGACGGGACAAATGCACATTGTCCACCTGCTGTCCCTTGACATGTGAATACACAGGATAGAACTATCAGTCAAACTTAGTGAATTATTATTATATAGAAAAGATATACCTCAACAAGTTATGCACGGTAGATAGTGGTGGAGATAAGTTGTGGATAAGATGCTGTGCGAGACCAACTACTGTGGGACAATTCAGTAACTGCAAGATTACTATAAAAAACTGACCAATTCATGGAAAAAGCATTTCAATCCAAGCTCAAATGCATATTGTAGAGTTAGTTTTAAGATCCAAGGCCACAACAGAAAATTTACTAAGTCTCAGCCTAAACAAACAAATTAATGGAATATACCACCAGAATATATCAGCAGTGTCTGATATTAAACCTACAAAACAAACCAATGCCTGCAAAGGCAAGATGGAAGTGTCGAATCTGACATGCATATTTTGTACTGGACCCCTGTTAAATCTGTAGTACTGCTAAACATTATTATTTGAAGAACTGTTTCTGTTCCTATGCACATTGATACGAATCATATAAAAAGCTTTATCTCCTTTTGTTCGATCCGAAGGGACTCAAAAATAAACCGGGTAACAGGTCCAATCGCTGCTGCCTTGTCCTCATTTCTTGACAGAAGGAAGCACTGGGCACTCAACATGGATGCACAGGAGCAGGTCTGTAGTGCAATTGGAGATCTATCAATATCCCACATGTAGGCTATGTAGGCTATGTAAAGAAATCCCTGGATTCAAACCCTAATTATGAAAACAAAATCCACTCCAAACCCAGTAACCAAGTGTTTCTAATTCTGATGAGATTTGCTGAAATATTCCATTGGTTTAATTCAAACATATCACATCACAATTTATAGATTGAAGAATGAATCTCTTTAACAGAAGCAGGTTCAGATCTCAAATGGGTGGTCTTAACAAAATCACCTGCTTTCAATATGTTATCAGCACATCTCATAAGAAATGCTTATGATATGTTTTAGAGTTTGAGCAGCTGATTTTTAATGTCTTCCATATTTCAGGCAAGCATCAAAGTGATACAGTCCTGACAACACATACACTCTTCATACATTTTTAACTCATTGTGGACATCTTACCATCCCATTCCCACATGTGGTCCCATCTGCCCATGGCATGTGCTGTGTGCGACATCCTTTATGGTCCCCCTCTGCACTCGTACACCACAATCGCTTGCACTGTTTCTGAAATGACAAATCATCAAATTGTCACAACACACTTTAATCACCTGCCAAAGCACATCTGTGTCTTCCAATGGGAACTGAGCAGAAGTTTTTTTTGGTTCCATTGCTCTTTTCTTTCACTCTCAGTATAAGATTGACATGTTTAATACTACTTCACTGCTTTCCAGAAAGGAGTGCGATCCAGTTACAGTAGTCCACAATAAGGTTTTAATTTTTCATGCAGACTCTGACTGCTTTATGAGGGTTTATTTGCAGGTCGTCTTACCATATACGGACAAATTTGGGATCCAGGTCCGAACATCAGCTCACACTGTCTATTGGCGTTATAGATCTGTCCAGGAAGTAGAGTGGGCAACTCGTAAATCCTTCCCGCAGGCTCATCCAATAAGCATTCTCCGTAACCAGTGCTATAACAGAAAAAGGTATACAGTAGAATGATTGATTTTTAGATAATAACAAATATTATGAACACAAATCTTACCCATCTTTCAAAACGTCAACAGTTGATATCAAACGAGACATGCTCCTATAGATCGTTCTTATAATAAAGTTCTGCTTTTCCTTGGACTTTCTCTTTCACTTTTAAACTCTTTATGTTGTGCTTGTTGAGTTATTGTTTGTACTGTTACCTGCCTTAGGACAATGGATGCAGTTTAGCTTTTGTGCTAATTCCAGCATATTTATGTTGACGCCGTTTGCCCTAAAAATCACTATGATGTGGTTGAGCTAAGCCATCATCAGTGGTATTAAGCAATTTAGGAAATTCAATACATTTTTTTTCTCTTTACTTATGAACTTTTAATTTAATTCCGCTCCCATCTCTGTGTGGAGTGAGAGGACAAGTGCCCAAAATAACAATTGTAAACCGCTTTGTGACTCTGGTCTGTGAAAGGCAGTATATAAATAAAGATTACTTACTTACTAACTTACTCACTTAATTTTCAATCAATCAAACCTAAACAAAAACTACATTAATCATGTTTTCAGTTACCATAGATCACTCACAAATACTTCTATTCAGACAACTGCAGAATTTATAAGTAATCCATTGTACATTGTCAGGATGCACATAGACACATTGAAAAAAAAAACTGGGACCGGACATACCTAAATGCTAAAAAACCTTGAAGAAGCTCTACTTTCTGAGGAATAACAAAAGCACAGGTGGGGACCATGCAGACCCTCAATAAGACAAGCAGTCCTATTCAAGTCGCTCTTTACCACATTGTATGGCTCTCAGTCTGCCCCATTGACATCCGTTATCCCATGTTAAGCCACTCACACACCTGTTCCATACACAGGCTGATGTCACAGCACAATAATTATACACAAAACCAACCAGTGTCTCTCTCTCTCTCTCTTGCATTTCATCAGTGATGTAAACCCGGCGGGAAACAGGTGAGGGCCTTAAAAAAAAAATAAACGACAGGATCTACAGGTACAGAAGCACATTACGACATCTTTCAGCAGTTGGTCATTTGTGTAATTAAGTCTTCAAATCTTGTCTGAACATTACTGAAAAAAGACACAAGAGGAAGAATAGGACAGTGTCTTTTAAGTGAATAATCAGCACAAAATGGGAAAAAAGGTGTGTTTTGTCCAATTTTTTCTGCATTTCAGAGGAGTTAACAATGCTTGGTCTTTGTAAGCTAATACGCATGTCATTTTTGTGATTTTTCTGAAGCTTTAATCACATTGACAATTCCAGTACAAGTCCTTAGCCGTGTTGGTAGCTAAAATCTAGGACATTTTGGAGCTATTGATATCATCACCCTAAAATTATAATGAAAAATCAAGCCGGAAGTTCCCAAACAGATACAAATATTGAGCTACTGATGTTATATAGATACATAAATGTAGATCCATAGACCCAGATTTTCAGAGGGTTTGGAGAAATATAATTGAAATCTAACTACAACTTTTGCATATGGGTGTCAGTGTACGAGCCCTATGTGTTTTATTTGAGAGTGGATAGATTGAATTAGCTTTTGAGTGAGAATAGACTCTTAATACACCAATAGACTTGAACAGGGAGCGAGGCAGAAGAGGAACAAGTGGTACTTTGAATCAATGCGCCTCATTGTTGGCTCGAGGCAGACTTCTAAAGCACTTGGACTATATTTTCGAGGGTCTTTCCCACCCTGTCCCTTGCTGTGCCGCGGCTGCTCCTGTCCTTATCCTTTCTCCGAAATAAGGCTCCAAAAAAGCTAGTGGGAAAAAGAGAAACCTCGAGGGAAAGTGAAGGAGAGATTAACCCCCATGGAAAAAAACAATCCAAAAACCACTTCTACAGTAATACAATAATTTTAGGATTTAATATTGCTTCTTGTTAACTAGCAATCATCATGTCCGTGCATGTAAGGTCTGGGTCTGGTCCCTGTGTTTGCGATTACACTGATTCAAGTATGTATGATTCAACATACATACTTTGTACTTTATACTAATTACACCAATATGAATAGCCTGTAAATTCATGCCCTCACATCCATGTTTAATATTGCTTGTTCTTGCTGTAATCAGAACAATGGGATTCATACAATTGTTAGAATAAATCATAAAGTTGAAATACAAAGAAGATTTGGTGCAACAAATTATTCTGTCTGAATATTTCCAATCTGGTTTGTGATAAGGTCAGTGGAGGGAGGCTGGAAACTATGTAAGCAGAGACACGAAGGCCATTGAAGCACCCGAAGACCACCAACAACACAGTCTTTGTGATGGCATGACATTTATACGATGACATGAGAAATCAAGAGTTCAAAACATGATCAAATTGAGCTTCTCAATCGGGCTCTAAGTGATGAGTTCACACAGCAGTGCTCAAAGTTATTAGCAAATGTTTTACAGCAAGAAGAAAGGCAGACGTTTACTTTGTAGTCAGCTGTGTGGAATAGTTTATTCCTGGCTTTGATATTTAGTTTCTTTATGATGTGGAAAGCTGCAGGTTTCATCATGATTTGAAATAGTCCAGTGTTACGGTTAATCTTTGTAATCAAATCTAACTGCCAACTTAATGATTATTAGTTTTCTATAGTCATCGGTCAAAAGTCCTAATATTTGAGTATTGAGCGTATATCATAGACCGTAAATATTAACGGACGCCTATCTCCGCCAATGAAACTTATGTGTGATCACATATTCCCTCCTGCCAACTTTTTTCAAAATGGCTGCAAGTGGCCCCTCCCGCAGGAAAATGTAAAAAAAAAAGCATTTGCGCATGCGTTAGCCAGCACGAGCCTGACACATGCCATTCATTTAACAAGTGCATTCTAAAGTCCACAGCGGCTAAACTAGGCTGGTCCAAAAGATAATACCGACCTCAGCATTGACATACATCTGGAACGTAGTGTTGACCCAAGAGCTGACTTTTGCACGCCATAAGAATTCACTGGATAATTCTGTTTCCAGGTACACCACCACCGACAAGGAGTCAGATTACAAGCATGTTAGCGCACAAAGCTCCTGGACCATTTTGAGCCAGGACCCGCCCCCACTCGTTTAAATGTATTAAATGTAGACTTACTCTAAAAACTCAGTGATGTACTTGCGGCTACATTTGGACCAAGACCAGGGACTTGTGTCGTAGTTGAGCGTGGGCGCCATGACATGATACTGATGTTTGAGGCCTGATTCTTTGCACTTTGGGTTATCATCGTGTGGCATGTTGAATCTGGAAGAAAAGAAGAAAAAGAGGGGGGAGTTAATAATGTTGGGCGGGGCATATTGGAACACACACAAAGCGCTTATCAGCTGCTTAGAGGCTCAGCCGAAAGCAAGAAGGATAAGTGTCAAAAGATATATAATCAACCATTTTCACTCCACGTCTTAATGCGTGCCACACACCAATATTGCTATAGATACATGTGTGAGAAAGAAATACTCCCAAAGACATCATAAAGTCCCAAGTAAATCAGAGTTCACTTTAATTGGGCCAAGTCTGGTTAACTTTAGGTAACAATGCTTCGCAAATCTGTTTCAAAAGATGTAAAATGAGTGAGTCAAGTGACTGACTTCCAAAATCTGTTTAAACAAAGTCAGTATTGAAACACTTCAGAGATGTTATAAGAAAATGTATTTGTCCCACAGTGGGTAAATGTGTATGCAGTGGGGAATTATGAGGACGTTTACCTCTGAAGTGAGACGAGTTCACTACTTGGGACTAATTTAGGTTCACTTGGAACAATTATGTATGTAGTTTTTTAAGTACTTTTGAGACAGATCTCTGTATTTGAAGAACTTTGAAAATCCTTGCATTGTATATATATATATATATATGTGTCATGATACATAAAGCTAGAAGTCAATATCAATTTTTCAGTCTTTCAAATTGTATCCCAGTATGAAGTGCACTACAAAAAGTGATAAAAAGATAAGTACAATATTGCTCAAATTCTGCAAAAAGTATCTTAATTTAAGCATGTTTTGACTGCCTTAAAACAAGATTTGCCAATGAGGTAATCTTGTTTTAATAAGAAAAAGAAATGTCTCCATTGGAATGAGAAAATAAAGCAACAGTTCTTGAAATAAGACTTTGGTTTGTCCAATATTGTTTTAATATCGTCAGAATGTACTCAAATTAAGATAAAAAGCACTCCATTCGAGCATTTCTTACCGTATATCCTATACATTTCTCCACTGTTTCATGCTGCACTATATATCACTACAGCACATTCCTAGTTTGGCTTTTTTTTCACTGATAATGGAAATAAAACTCTGCTTTCTGTTCAGCATAACGTTATACAAACCACGTAAGACCTTGATGACATGACACTAATGTTTTAGTGCAAAGAAAACAGCTGCAACAAATTAAGCCTGCAACTTCACATCTGCCTTTTAATGGACTGATGGATTTAGTGAGCCGAGGTTGGCAGCCTAAAGTCTGTCTTATTTAAGCCCCTGGTATAGTCCAGAGCCTAAAAAAATTTCCGCACATATACACATGTACACTAAACGCTTACAGAAATGTGCATTCGCAGATAAAGCTCCATTAGGAGGAGGATATTTACAACAGGATGTGGGCAGGGCTCCGCTGTTGCTGAGGGTCAATTCATACAAGTGTACAACAAGACCTGGCACGGCTGGCATGAGGCCCACTCAGCGGGGGCCAAGAGACTGACAGCGAACATCCCCCGAATAATGAAGCCTCCAGCATGAAATAAGCTCCACTAGTAATCAGGCTGTTGTGCTGGTGCTGGGTATTAGAAGTTCAAAGAAAGCGTTTGTGATGTTTTCAGCCAAAATGCCTTCATCCATACCCTAACCAGTGCTGGGTTGGGTCAAGGTATATACAGTATGGTTTGGAGAACACACATTAATAGGGCCTAATGCATCAGCAAGGTTTTTGTAGTGACTCCAGTCCTTATTTTAAATGGTAAACGTTCTGAGGTAAGTTATTTGGTATTTGTACAAACAAGGGGAAAAGTCCTTCCTTCAGTTCTGTTTACTGTATACACCAATGATTTGAGTTTGTGGATTGAAATGCACTGAGGGCAAATTGGGACATTGTGTTTTAGGACTAAATCCTTTTAGCGTCATTAAGCTCCAAACCAAACATGTAAATCAAACATCAAATGAACCCAAAGGAAAGAAGCAACTCATTTATTAAATCTTGGCACAAAAATATCACCACTATTGTCTGCGCTCAAAAACAACACATAACTCAAAACGTCCACGCATCATCCATAAACTGTGCTTTTTCCTCTCGTAACCTCGGAGGGACCATTCTATTTGTCACGTTTGTAACTTTTTATTACATTTTCTGAATGAAAAAAGCTGTATAAATAAAATGTGATTGCTTAATTTATTTGTGAATACACCATAACTTTTACAATTGACATTTACATTATTGTTTTTTTCTATATAATTGTTATGATCAAAATATTTTCAGATGTATTGTATTGGATTGCCTGTAGGTGTAACTGCCTGGCTCTGCAATAATGCTGACATTTCTGTTTTGTAAAAGTGCGCAATGCATGAGTTATGGTTAGATTTATCTAAAATATTATCTTTGTGTCCATCAACACATAAAGACAGTTTATACAAGACTCACTGTTCTATAATCCTGACGAATTTTCATTATATCTCACGTCTTCACCTTCTAATCTGCGACATCTTCACTCTTCAAACTATGGTGTTAAACAATTGAGAGAAAATGTGGCCAGCAGATTTAAACTTGTGTTAAACATGTCAGACTTTCCGTTGGAAAAGAGTGAGCTACATTTCCATCTTTAAAGTTATGACAGATAAACATGGCCCAACAAGTTTTCCAGTCAAATAAACGGCGAGACTTGGATCCAGCTTGCATCAGCGAATTCGCACGTTACTCATTTGAACTAATATGAAATGATCGGGTGCAGAGAGGGTTAACAGCTGCTCAGAGGGTATTAACGTAAGGCCAGTTATTAAAAGTCAATTCTTTCTCATTATGCACCTGTGTTGGCTGAAGAGAGAACTGCATAAAAGCCCTTTTGTTGCTGTCTGTGAGAGCCAGGAGAGATACAAAAAAATGCAATACACTTTAACTGTGTTTAATAGGTTGCGTTCATAGTGTAGAATTCTATTTGGAAGACAGGCGCCAATGCAATTCTCGGTGGGAAAGAAGCAAAATTTGAAAGAAATTTTAGATTGTAAAAAATGTGGAAAAATAATGTAAATATTGCTCAATTATGGCAAAATGCATCTCAATTTTACCACATTTTGACTGCCTTAAAAGATGATTTGCCTATGGGACAGGCAAAATTATCTTGTTTTAAAAAGATAGAAGAAATGTCTACCCTAGAATGAAAAATTGTGTTCTTTCTATCAGCTTTCAACATCTGCATATGCTTTAAAAACCATCATCAGAAAATAATTAGACCATAGTTGAGATTTTCTGACTAAGAGGATTGAAAGTTTGTGGAATTACTTGTTGAGTGTCCCTCTAAAGTAGCTCTAAACTAAGACTAGAAATCTGACTTTGATAGTTACCATAGTTTCCATGAACTTTTTTTAAGCTGCCCTCCACCTCAATGTTAAACTGTATGGTCTTTGGACTCTTGATATGTCACACGACTGCAACCTCTTCACAAATATAAATACATTGGGACTGTTATACTATCATACAATTTTAAGAACAAAATCAAAAATCAAAAAATGAATGAAAATGAATGAATGAATTTCAAAAATGTGTGTATAGTTTGACGTACACGTGACCCAGCTCGTGGGCGATGGTGAAGGAGGCGCTGATGCCGTTCTCCTCGCTGATGGAGCAGCTCCGATACGGGTCGCACATGGTCCCCAGCTCGGCCAGTCCTGCACGTCACGCACACACAGCCACGAAAAACTAATAACTAAGTGTGTTAAAGCAGATTAAATCATCAAAACTTTAGATCCATGAAGCAGATTAACACCTTCCCCCCTCCCCTTTCTACCACTCGGCTCTGTCACTACAATATTATTAGCTGACAGCTTGCCATAAACTCATTAGGGCTGTGTTTGTGAGCTGTGCTAAACAGAGTGGAAAGTTAATTGATTGAGATTTTGCGAGAAATTAAACAAAAAGATGTTTACCTAAAGTGTCACATTTATCTTTTGCACGGCAGATATCTTCTCTGCAAAACAGCCATAAGATAAACATGTTACATCAAGCAATTTCAGAAACAAAATAAAAAGCTAAAGGAAAGCAGTAGCACCTGGTAATGAGGAGCGCAGTGTCGTGATGCAGAGGGTGGCTGTCTTCGGGCAGGTTTTGACCTTGCTGCCAAACACAGAAGTTGTGGAGAGTCGTGGCAGCGTTAAAGCTCACCGTGGGGCCCTCCTGAAGCACAAACAAACAGGAACAATGTCTGAGGAGGCGCTATCACAGTGTCACCCGGTTTTGTCACATCGAGCTGCAAAAGTGGGCGACGCTGGGCCCTACTTAAGGTCAGAGAGTCTTTTCTACTGGCCAACATTGTGTTTTATTAAACTTTTGATAGTAGATTTTTCAACTGCCCTCCACCACAATTTCAAACTGCAACCATTGGAAAGCCCGACTTTGTATCTCTGTCTTCTCCTCGAAGCTCTAGCTCTATAAATGCAATGCATTTCAAAATATGTTTGACTTTCTTTTCAACCTGATGTAATATAGAAGAGAATAGAATAGATTAAACTTCATTCTCCTTGAGAGGTAATTTGTCTTGAGCACAGCAGTACACATATTACACATACTTTACAATAAAGGACAAAACATTCAAGAAAAAAATATAACAATAGAAACATGTTTAAGCACTATACTACTATTATACTACTACAGGGACCAACTTATTAATCTTATTACATTTGCAGGTGGCTTGCTTGGTTACTATACTTTCATTTGTCTTTTTCTTAATGAAGAGTTGAGACTGACGCAAGGCCAGCATTGTTCGGCCTCGCAGCACACACCTGCTCATTATGGACCATGATCAGCCTGACAATCATGACGTTAATAAGGTTTCCAACACTGGGGTCCCGGTACACTGCTGCTACCTGTAACAAAAATAAAGGAAAAGAGAAAGATGCAAATCGCTATTCTAACAGATCACAAGCTATTAGATTTTCCAAGTTCATTCTATGGTTTATCACAAGCTCAAAACAGATTCTTTCAATAACAGTTACCTGGTAGTAAAAAGAGCAAAGAACAAATTAAACTAGCAAAAGTGATAACAGGACTCAACCAAGCCCTTGTTCTAGCCCAGAGGTTCACAAGCAGTTCAGGTCGGGATGCCCGGAAATGGCATGATGAAACTGAATTCCACTGATGTATACAATTTTATAGTTTATTATTTCTTTGGTCAAAAATACTATTTCATACGGACAAGAAAAAAATGTGGATACAATTTTTGTTTGAGCTATAGTATAAGAAATATACTATAGCTCAAACAAATATACAGCTATAGTTGTTATATATATAGCTATATAATAACAACTATAGCTATATGATGTATTGAAATATGCATAATAAATTTTTACTTTCTTTGAAGTAATGCATTGTGCTATTTGATTAGATTATAAAAGAATAGAAGAATTTTAATAGCAAAAATGTATTCTGGAAATGTCCTTTCGACCCCCAGCTGCTGCCCCACAACCCCCACTTTGGTAACCTCAGTTTGAGACCAGGCAGACGTCTCAACAGTGACAACGTCCGAACTGTGTCTTTCTGAAGTTGCTGCACGGTCAGCAGTCTCCTGAGGCCATGAAGGCCCTCCTGACAGGAACTCATTAGCCCACTATAAACATTTAGTTTGTGTTCGCCTTAGGGGAGCTAGTAAAGCCCAGTCTGCCCAATGCAAACTGGACATAGTAAACAAAACAAAAAATATATCTTATCCACTGTAAGAATAACAGCACTGGCAATCATTTCTTATTCAGATTAATAAGTGATGAGCTTTTGGGATTTCAGATTGGTTAGACTCCATTTTGTATTATATATTATACCAGACATACACACACACATTACAGTCATAAAAAGAGCTGACTCAGTCCCAAACCACTTTACAACATCCCTTTGGTCGGTGACGGAGGAGAAGTCTGAATTGGGGTCATTTAAGGGTTTATCACCAAAAAGGTCATGACACTGGAATGCTGCCCGTACATAGATTCATAGAAAATATATACATTTATTTGGGCCAAATGTGCAACGCAGAGTCTTTCCCATTTGGGTGACACTTGCACAGTTTTTCCAATGTGGTTTTACTGCAAATGGCAAATGAATTCTTGAAACTTATACTTGTCGGGCTCTTACACTCCTGCTCACTAACGAGACACTAGAGAAGCAGAAACATCTTGCAAGAGCTAATTTGTTATTTGTAAGTTATGTAAAAAAAAAAATTGCATTAATTGGCTTATAGTTTAGTAGGGTGACAGTAGCTCAGTTGGTAGAGCATGGGCCTTTGAGCCTGAGGGTCACTGTCTGCTGCCGTTGTGTCCTTGGCAAGACACTTAACCTCTGGGAACACCAGCCACAGTGGGGCGGCTGCGGCTGTAAAGTGCCAAACTGCCGTTGTGTCCTTAGGAAAGACACTTCACCCCCATTGCCTAGAATGAGTCTGGTGTGTGTGTGAATGGTTGGTGGTGGTCGGATGGTGCAGGGTAGTTTATCACCACCGTGTATGGAGTGAATGAATAATGACACGTGAAGCGTCTTTGAGTGTCCAAAAAAGCGCTATATAAAAAATAAAAAACTGATGCATCAATAGTATTGAGATCATATCGTAATCTGTATTGAAATGCCGGGGTGTGCATTGCCATAGTCAATCCATTCAGGATTCAGGCAATGCAGGGTTAAGTGTCTTGCCCAAGGACACAACGACAGCAGTCATCAGTGGGAGCCGGTGGAGAAGGTCCCATGGTGGGCTTGAACCCACGACCTTCAGGCTCAAAGGCCAGTGCTCTACCAACTGAGCTACTGTTGCCCCAGTGGCGATAGTGATTGGCCATAGCCAATTAAACTTTAAATTGCAGATTGTTAAAATTGTCACACATTATTAAAAACAAATATTTTACTTACTACTGACATGATTGTGAGAATGTAGTGCTCCAGATTATGGCCATGATGTCGGACCATTTTAGCGTCAGCCGTCACCATCAGCTCTACATATCGAGGGTAAGACAGGAACCTCTTCCGTCTGATTTTCGCTTTGGGATTCTCCGTCGTGATGTTGTTAGTTTCAGAAACATTGATCGAGTCTTTAAAGTAGTCCTGGTCTTCAGCCATGTTGCCTGGATTTCTTGTGTCCGCTGTTGCAACAAAATCAAATTACTGAAGTTTAGTTACAAGCAAAAGTAAATGTATAGTTAACAGAAGGTGGGAGCTTAGGCAAATTCCTATGACATAATACATTGGACGTGTATGGAAAAGTGTGTCAGGCTAGTACTGGAAAGAGTTGCACCAAGAGAGGCAAGGTCAGTGCTTTAGTGTAGTGAAGGTTTTAGGTCAAACTGTGCAACACACACATACTGTATAGCTGAATATAACAATGGCCCCTGATCAAATTACTCATTATTCATCACTTTTTGGCTCCAGGTCACCATGATTATCAAAAATAACGATTCCAACCAGAATCTTCATACTTAAACTAAATACTTGTGTCTTGAAAATGCTTCAGCGTTCAAAAAGATGAGGATTGTTAAATTCTTTGCGCTGTATAGAAAGAAAGACTGCTCTCAGCTGAAGTGCACGTGTTGAGTGTTTGCCAAATTGGAAGATTCCTGCACCATGACACAGCGTAGGTAAAACAGGGAGGACACCATCATGTGTAAAGACCGAGGTTTAAAATGAGAGATGATCTGATAATAAATGCATGTGTAATACTGTAAATGGTTTCAGGCCAGGGCTAATGTAATTTACTCTTACAGTGATGCAGGGGGCAAGCATGGAAAGATAAGTCAGCTGTGCGTACACAACAACTCAAGATGATACCGGCAAAATTGTGTGCAAACAGAAAAGAAAGGTATTTTTACAACAACACTGCAAAAAATGATAAACTATAAGGTAAAAAATGCTTGAATAAAGAGGGGGGTTTTTTGGAATTGGAGAACATTTTGACAACAGTTGCCAATGGAACAATTTAATAGAACAAGAACAAATATTTTGTTTTAAAACGATACACGAAAAATCAAGAAATATCTTATACTGGTGAGAAATTATTCATTTATTTATTTATTTATTTATTTGATCGGGACAACACACATTAATGAACAATCATATACAAGTTGTACACAAATTGTAAATGTGCCAGATTGTAGCAAAACTGCTAATATTTATTAAATTATTTAAATTATATCCATAGTCCCGAGGCAGGTCACACAACAATAATAATAATAATACATTATTTGCAACAGCACTTGAAATAAGACTAAACGGCTTGTTCCATTAGCAAATCTTGTTTTAAGACTGTCCGAATATACTCAAATTAAGATAAAAGCCCTTTATTCAAGCATTTATTACCTCATATTTTATCATTTTTGGCCGTGAATAAAAAACTACATCTGTTCCAAGTGGTATTTTTCAGCGTTTGTGTTGTCTTTAACAAAACTAACTGAGGACTTGACTGTGAGACATATAGCGATCTTAGAAGATTGGCATTAATTCCTGGAAGCATGCAGCTCAGGTCATAACACCCTGGCACACAACCTTTGCCACTGTGATTCCCTGCACCGTGCCAGCGCTGGTGTCCAAATCAGCGCTTACCCCGCCTGTTTGGCCAGCAAGAGTTGAACATTGCTTCGTATTTGTCCAAAATTTGTCCAAAAGCTGACACTAAACCCCTTAAACAGACTCATCACTGCAGACGGTCGGACATCAAAGGGATTAGTGAAGCGCAGACAAGTACCTCCATCCACAGAAATGGTGTGATTCTCTGAGACATGAAACAGAGAAACGGAGCTGAAAGTGAAAATATGGACCGTGTTGTTCGCCCATGATCAGCCACAGCTGCTAACATCGTTTCAACAATGGCGTTGATTTCACATCTGAAGCTAGGTGCTATGACATTATTGTAAGCACTTTCAGAATACATAAGGGAAAGGCATAAGCTGACGACCACAAAGAGACAACTAGGGGCAGTCTATGGGCATGCCCCTTGCACTCATTAAGGGTGTAGTAAGTAGAGAGTGGTAAGTAACCTTTATTTATATAGCGCCTTACACAGACACAAAGTAACAAAGCGCTTTACAATTGTTGTGAGCATTTGTCTCTCACTCCACACAGAGATGGGAGCGACATACAGGAGGCACATGCCAGACCTGTTGTACATGTTTTTAGTGGTAGGGGAAACCAGAGCACCCGGAGAAAACCTGCGCAGACACGGGGAGAACACAAAAACTCCACTCAGAAAGACTCTGTTCCGACCTAATCCTAACCCTTCTTGCTGAGAAGCGAGAGTACTAGCCACTCAACCAAGATGTCGTGTAAGGGAAAGACCTCAAAGTAAGGCCTCATTCACACTGCAGAAGAGCTTGTGGATGAAAGTCTTCAGTGTTTGTGCCATCTCACGCCAAGCAGAGATTATTCACTCTGTCTTTGGGTGCAAAATTAGTTCTGAACTAGGCATAAAACAGGCTAATGACTGGACTAGAACTAGATTTGGCCTAAAAAAGATCATAACCAGGACCAGACCTAGATTAAAGCCAGGTCTAGTCAACGCTGTAATAGTCTAGTAATAGATCCAATGGTTACGCTGGATTGATGTAGCATTAATTGACTTCTTTTCAAAGCACATTCTTGATGAATTTGCTGTTAAAAAAATGACCTTGAGTAAAATCTTTGGCTTCTGGATTGGCGGAGACAGCTCCCATCCCCTTACTCTGCGCTTCTTGTTATGAACCTTGACATACTGTTAGTTCACAAATTCTCACAAATGACGCAAGCACTACAACTGAGCTATACATCACTTGGACAACTAAATTACACACAACTTGACAATGTAAAACCATACTTTAAACAACATGATTAAATAATGTGATGACGCTTAAATAATATTCTCTGCCATATTTTTGCTATATGAACTTGATTTTGAAATACTTACATCACTGTGGCACATTAAATCAAGTCCATGCCATGTAATGTAAACCGTTATCACAGTACATGTCAGCTGTGTAGGCAGCCTGTAGTCTGTGTTTACATATGCAACCATAATAGTTCACTATTGAAACATGTATCATTGTGGGCAACCTGCGTGAGTTCTTTTATACAAAATGATCTCATAGGGTTTTCTGGGTACATCAAAGAACTGCTCTTTGACTCTTCTTTGGGTCTCTGTCAAAAGTATCAATGTCAGAGGCTCAATAATAGGGAACACACAATTCATTGTTGAACTAATTAACATTCTTTTACCATGGCCCGCTGAGATCTGCAGAGCCCCGATCTCCGGGTGCCAATTAAATGGACAGTAGACCCTACATGTGAGCCCAGGTACTGCCTCCCACCCCAGATTGAACTAAAAGACATTTTGCATTCAGCTGGTTTTTAGCTGATGCAAAACTACAGACAGCCATAATTAGCTGCAATTCTGTGGCGAGACAGGGAGCGATGAAGCTAATTGTTGCTGTTGAGGGAGGCTTTTTAAAATGATGAGGATTGGCGTCTGACCTTACTATGATTATGATTGAAGACAGCTCATCACTCATGTAAATATCTGTGGAGACACTCTGGCCTCTCAGAAACTATGCAAAGAGACAAACACTATTTTGCGATGTTTTTTTTGAGACGCATAATATATTGAGAAGCACACATGTCATTTTACCGTGTCATAATGCAGTATATTATGTGTGCGTCTCTGTGTAAATGTACATATGGTTAGCAGCGATAGAGTAGAAAATACATCAGAACTACAGAATCAACAGAGTAAAGTTTCTGATGTAGACAGCGGCAGAAGAACCCGAGTCGGAGCTTACAACAGGAAGTCATGAGTCAACACAACATAGTCAGTTTAATGGAACTGAAGCTGGGCTCTCCGACACCTTCCACATATGGCAGAGTTTTTGGTGATAGTGGTACCCATGCAAAAGGAAAGCATCATTTCTGAACAATGAAAGATCAGAATGAAAAGAACCATTAACACATACACTTTGTTACCACAAAATAAACAATGGTAACTGACACTTTGAGCGACAAGCATTTTTTGCTGTACCAGAAACCAATTCCACCAACTTGTTGAGGCCTTTAATTCGGATTTTGATTCAGTGCAATAAGGTTGTTGAGGTTGGACTTATAAATGTTCCAGTTAACTTCTTAAAATCCGGGTAAAAAGAACAATTAAGTTTAGTTGTGCATACAGTACAACTGAGGGATTTTATCTTTGCTCTTTTTAATGTTCTGTGATTATTCATGATTTTAATGCCTTGTGTGATTGTCTCTATCTTGTTTTGTTCAGCACTTTGAGTTGCCTTGTGTATGAATTGAGCTATACATATAAACTTGCCTTGGGAGTGGGGAAATTTGGCTAATTCTGAAGGCACTGAGGGCATTTACAAAGAACCTAATACCAGAACCAAAAAGGTGAAAGGTCTTCCATCTCGTCACACCCTGCCATGTTTCTGACTGAGAAACTGAAGAAGAATGGATTAGGCATATGTTTGGCAAATAGAAATAATACAAGGTCCATTTCTTGAATAAAAGGCAAGGTCACCTTCAGCCAGAGCCATGTGCGACATCAAACAATGAAGGAAGTGGGGTCACAAGCAACAAGTGTTCCATTCACATACATGAAAGAGCAAAGAGAGAGTGGGCAACCATTCAAGTCGGCAAGTTCAAACCACAGACAGGGGGAGGGCATTTTTCCATGTAAATGAATCCATTGATCAAAAAACCTGATGGTAGCATTTCAACTTCCATGTATACACAGTGGGTACCATGAGGGGAAACAATACAAAGATTATGAGAAGGGTCAGGGGGGGCGCTGAACCCATGTGTGCCAAGTATAAGACTATTAAAGACGGCTACTTGGCTCTCAGCTGGTCATCAATGTATGAAAGAAACAATGTCTTTAGGAGCTAATGTTTGTTGTCACGCCTGTCATAATCAGCTACATCCTGCTGCATCTTGAGCCAGACTTTCAAAGATTAAATTGTGAAGGAAAACAGCGGGAAGAATCAACCCCATCAATCCCTGTCCAGAATGCACTCTTAATTCTATAGGGCTCGGAAATCACTCAATAATTGGTGAGTACTAAAATGATAAGGGAAAACATGGTCAGGTTATAAAACTATTTTTGCACAATAGGTCAAATAATACAAGT